GTGATATTTAATCTGTGCAGCCTAGATGTGATATTTAATCTGTGCAGCCCAGATGTGATATTTTCAGTTCTAACGATTGTCGACTTCGACTGATTGATTAATTTTAGAGTCAAACTCTTGTCCGTCATCTGCCATCAGCAACAATTCTGTCCCGCTTATTAAAGGCTGATCAACTCAGGGCTTTTATTTTGAAGCTGCCGTTGTTACCTTCAGACAGGTAGCAAGGTCCAGAGGTGTGTGTCCTCCTGCAGGTCTCTTACGGGTTGTGACTGGTTGTGTAGCGGCGTCTGGCTCTGTGAGCTCGTCTCTGATTGGTTCGTTCTCTTCATCAGAGGAGGAGCTGAAGAAGAGCGGCTCGTCGTTCTCCATGTTCTTATCAGCTCCTGAAAAACACTGTGCTTAACCACCTGCTCATTGTGTTACGTTTGTGTTACAGGTTGTGTTATGTGTTGTGCTGCGTTATGTGCCGTGTTATGTGTTGTGTTATATGTTGTGTCATGCATTGTCACATGTTGCACAGTGGGTTGTGTTACGTGTTGTGTTCAAGTTGTGCCATATGTTGTGGCACAGGTTGTGTCCTGTGTTGTGTAACAGGTTGTGTTATGTGTTGTGTTATATGTGTAATGTTTTGTGTTACAGTTTGTGGTATGTGTAACATTACATGTTGTGTTACATGTTGTTATATGTTGTGTTATATGTTGTGTTACGTGTTGTGTAACAGGTTGTGTTATGTGTTGTGTTATATGTGTAATGTTTTGTGTTACAGTTTGTGGTATGTGTTACATTACATGTTGTGTTACGTGTTGTTTTATGTGTTTTGTTTTGTGTTGTGTTACATGTTGTGTAACAGGATGTGTTATATGTTTAGTTACATGCATAATGTTTTGTGTTACAGGTTGTCTTGCGTAACGTGTGGTGTTACATGCGTAACGACCCTGTCAGGTGACTGACTGAGCTGCTGCACTCTGTTGAGCAGAGTGCAGCAGGTAATTATTGGGAACATCTGAGGTGCTGGCTCAGCCCAGTATAAAGAGAGAGGTGTTGTGTTTCTCCTGGAGGAGAACATTAGGCCTGTCCTCTCTCCTTCTTGCTGGTCTTCCTGGGGTTATGATTCGTCTTGGTTATGCTGATCTGTTGTCTGGATTTAGTTTGTTTTGATTTTGGCTTGGTCTGCTTGGTTAGTTTGTTTGGTCTAGTTTTGGTTAATTCAACTCTTTTTTACAGGTTTGAGCTTCTCCATCTGGTCATTAAATTACATTTTACAATAAACATTTATAAAACCACATTTTGTGTCCTTTTCCCTTTTTTTTTGTCGCAACCCCAGAGCCAGGTTGTGACACATGTTAGTTGTGTTTATGTGTTGTATTACATGTTGTGTTACCTGTTTTGTTTCAAGTTGTACTACATGGTGTGATGCAGATTGTGTTACATGCTGCTACAGGTTGTGTTCTATGTTGTGTTACATTTTGTGTTCTGTTTCATGTTGTGTTACAGGTTGTGTTTTGTGTTGTGTTAAATGTTGTGTTTCATGTTGTGTTACAGGTTGTGTT